AGAATAACTCTGTGGCCAATTTCATTTTAAGAGGGTAATGTTGAGTTATTTTTCATAACTTAAAGTACAAATAATTATGCTCCCTTGTTTGTGTTTGATGAGACTTACAGCTGAGATGTAGGCTTTTTTCTTTCTCTGGCTGCATTCACTGCTGCCCAGAAAGTTTTGAACAACTGTGCTAGGTTTAAGTTTTTTTTTTTAAGATTTTATTTATTTTAGGGAGATGGGGAAAGGGAGGGAGCGAAACATCAACGTATGGTTATCTCTAGCACCCCCCCATACTGGGGATATGGCCTGCCATCCAGGCGTGTGCCCTGACTGGGACTCAAACCAGCGACACTTTGGTTCACAGGCCCATGCTCAGTCCACTGAGCTACCCCAGCCAGGGTTGGGTTTAATTTTTTTGTAAATAAAATTTTCTGTTTTAATTTTTAAAAATGACTTGTGTCATTTTGAAGATATAAAAAGTGGAGAGACAGTGGGAATATATTTAAATAGGGTTTTTTTTCTTTGCTTACACAAAGAAATGCAAAATAAAAAAATCTAATGATCATTGACTCACAGCTGCACTGGTGTTGATAGATATATATATTCAATAAATAACTGAGATATATACAGGGATGGGCAAAAGTAGGGTTACAGTTGTGAGTACATGAAACACAGCGTTTATTCTTGGATTATATATTTTTCTATTACTAACAACTGTTAACCTACTTTTTCCCTCACCTGTATATTATGAATTTGGAATTTTGTTAAGTAAGAATGTATCAAACATTGATAGTTGACATTGCCCCACAGTTGTTGTAATATTAAGTTCCTGTGTGTAGTCTGTTTTTAGTTATCCACACCTTTTGTTTATTTCTTCAGTGCAAATTTGTTTTATGAAATTAGCAGACATACTAACAGTGTCTTAGATAATATTGAGTGGTAATGTATTGAGAATGGTGCACAGCAATTCCCCGTCTCCACAGAACAAGAAGAAACAGTTTAGATTCTAGGAGGGGAGATTTTGTTGGACCTAAAAATAATTCCCTAATATTAGGGACATTAAAACATAAATCCTTATGGCTGGTGTTTATTAAAATAATGACACCTAACATTTTGGTGTGTGCTGTGTCGCTGGCACTGCACTAAGCACTTTACATACATTATCTCATTTATTCTTACCAAGGCTTACTATGTAGAAGCCACTGTGTTTCTCATTTTGTAGATGAAGGAACTGGGGCTCAGAGAGGTTAAATACCTCACTGAGGTTACACAGCTAACAAGGGGGAGCCAGAGTTTGAAACCAGACTGTCTGACTGCAGAGCCCATGCCGTCGACCACAGTGTCCTGCGAGGAAGGCAAGTCAGGGACGCCCATCCCAGTGCTCACCACCAACCACAGTGTATACTATGAGGAAGGCAAGTCAGGGACGCCCGTCCCAGTGCGCACCACCAACCACAGTGTATACTATGAGGAAGGCAAGTCAGGGACGCCCGTCCCAGTGCTCACCACCAACCACAGTGTATACTATGAGGAAGGCAAGTCAGGGACGCCCGTCCCAGTGCGCACCACCAACCACAGTGTATACTATGAGGAAGGCAAGTCAGGGACGCCCGTCCCAGTGCACACCACGGTGGGGAGTCAGCTGTGGACAGGGACAGTTCACGGAGTAGATGTGGGTCAGAGAAGTGCTGCTGTCGTCTGGTTAAAGAAGTCATGTGTGTAAGGGTACATCCCCGCTGTGTTCCAGTCTTTCCACTCGTGTTCCACAGAGGGGTAGTGGGATTGGTTTGTGCATCGTTCATGACAAAGTTGCCGAAGTTCGCAGTGCTGTGGAGATGAAAGTGAGGCTTCCATAATGTGTGGAAAACTCAGAAATCAGCAGGAAAAATAGTAAGACGCATATACATCAGTGGAGAAAACAGAAACAGAGAGTACAAGAAATACTTAAAGAATAAAGAAATCTCAGTCTTATAAGAAATCAAATAAATTACCTAGTGTTAATTTTGCCTGGGACATTAGCAAAAATTTATAAAATGTTAAAACCCAAAGCTGGGACTCTCTTTCACTGCTGATGGCATTTTGAAGTAGTAGGTTACTTCACCTGAAACTAATGTAGTAATGTATGTCAGCTGTAAAACTGTAATTGCAAAAATTTTTTTAATTAAAATAAAGTAAATTGAAAATATTTAAATAAAGTAGTACATTAGAAGAATAAAGTGATTCAGTCAGTAAATAAATATCCCTCTTCATCAGCAAACCATGGCAGATTAACGGGTTGTGTTGCGGTTCTAGCTGTTGGCACAGTTTTATTTTTTGGTCTTTAATGTCAGTGTTACAAGAATACTGCACATTAAAAAAATCACTCAGGGGAGTCCCAAGATGGCAGCAGAGTACACGGAAGCTGCACTCAGCTCATCCTAGGACCGACCTGGAATGACAGCTAAATTGCAGAGCAAGCATCCTGGCTAATGAGCTGAAGACTAGCTGGAGAGAAGCTTTCTAACCAAGGACTTACAGAGGAAGCCACACTGAGACTGGGCTTCTCCAAGATGTCCGCATGGCTGTAACCCTGGCACGGCCTGTGTTCCAGCCCCTAACAAGAGACTTGGATTAAAGTGGAAAAACCCTGTTTTCTTACTATGACCTAGAGGGGGATGCACAGACCCTCGAGAGGGACAGAAGACCTGCCACCTAGGTCCCTGTGAGCCCAAGTGCTGGCACTAGCTGAGGCCCCTCGGGCCTAGAGGTCATGTTTACCTCACTGTGGCAGATCCCTGGGGGAAGGAGAGGCTGGAGGTCAAGGGAACTCAAGGGAATGTCTGGCTCAGAATCTCTCTGAGACCCACAGTAGGGGTGTCCAGATCCCACACTCAGATTTTTGTTTGAGTCCCATGTGTAAACAGGTTCTTTCATACTTTAAGAAGGGGAGTGTAATCTGCAAAATTTAGCAGTAACTATTTGGAAAGCTGTGCTCTTTGACCTAGTAATTTTATTTCTAAGACTTCAGAGTGATATGTGCTTATGTGAAATGAAGAGGCCTTGAGGATAGATAATGATGCAGCAGTGATTGCAGTAGAAAAGACATATGTCGAAAAAGGTTCTGAATGTTTAAACTCTGGTAGAATTGTACAATGAATACTCTGTGCCTTTTAAAAAAAGACCGAGGAAGTGCTGTGTGAGCTGATGTGCAGCTCAGCAAGGATTATTGTCAAGTTAAACAAAGTAAAGAGCAGGACGATGCAGAGAGCGCTCCCTGCACCATCTGAGATTGCGCCTGCGCATACCATCTCTTCAGAAATCCAGAACAGCAGCTGCCTCTGAAAAGGCAACTGGATGGGTAGGAACAGAGGCAGGAAGGGGACTTGCTTTTCGGAGCGTTTATACCTTTTAAATTTTGTATCAGGTGCTTATGTATGTATTTAAATGATTTTTTAAAAGAAAAGGCGGAGCTCCACTAATTATTCTGATGTTCACAAAGAATCAGTACAAATGAGGCACTCCTGAGACTACCCAGGAGAGTGAACATGCCCCTTAAAATAGTTTTAAAAATAAAACAACATAAACATATGAGGTCTGTCTGGAAAAGCCCAGCCATTGTTAACAAGAACGGTCTCCACAACATTGCTGTACTTTGGCAGCCAAGGGGAGTAGACCCAAATGCGCATGTGTGAACAATGACGACTTCACTGTACTAGTCAGTGGGGGCGGTAGATGCCATTGAGTGGGCATGTGTACTGTGCAGCCGTCGCATTCAAAATGAGTGAGTAGAGCAGCAAGTCTGCATCAGATTTTGCATTCAGCTTGGCCATTCCTCCATGGAAACTATTCAGATGACTCAGAAGGCTGCAGCTGTGGGCACCTGGTGACTGGCAGCTTCACCACAACAGTGCCTCTGCTCACGCATCATGTCTTGTGCAGAGGGTTTTTTTGGCAAAACATCAAATCACCCAGGTGACTCCACCTCCCTGTAACCCAGATTTGACACCCTGTGCTTCTCACTTTTCTTAAAACTAAAATCACCTTTGAAAGGGAAGAGATTTCATACTGTTGATGAGATTCGGGAAAATAAGACGGGGCAGCTGATGGTGACTGGGAATACTGTGAGGTCCCAAGGTGCCTAACTTGAACTGAGATGTCATTGTCCTATGTACAGTATTTCTTGTATCTTTTTTTAAAGATTTTATTTATTTATCTTTAGAGGGGAAGGGAAGGAGAAAGGGAGAGAAATATCAGTGTATGGTTGTCTCTCGTGCATCCCCTGCTAAGAACTGGCCTGCAACCCAGGCATGTGCCCTGACTGGGAGTCGAACCGCGGTTGTTTGGTTCACAGGCCCATGCTCAGTCCACTGAGCTACACCAGCCAGGGTTCTTGTGTCTTCCGTCTTCAATAAATGTCTCTATTTTTCATATTAAATGGCTGGATACCTTCTGGACAGACTTCGTATGACTATCCCTCTTCCCTGGCATTAATTAATTCAGTAAACACGAAATGCACATGATTCTTTCTTTAACATATTAAAAAGCATATTTTATAAAGCTAATCTGCAATAGACAAAAACTTTATTAAATACATTTTTGTTAATCACAGAAGAAAATACAGTAATTAATAGCTGTTGAGCAGAAATGTTGATTTAGTATTTTCCTTAAAATTTTTAACTATGAGAGATGTATTTTAATTGCCAACCCATGTCAAGCTTAAACTGCATAATAATCTCCTAGTAACCTGATTGCTTATGTACACTCTTCTGGCCCATAAGAACATGCATATTTTATGTATTAGTATTCCATAATTTTATCACTGGTTCATTGACGTTAGGAACATAATTTAAGTTTATTATTCATTACCCACTGTTAGCAACTAAGATTTTGGGAAGCATTATTTCAGAGGACTTAAAGAATGATGAAATTGATTTTATCAAAGGTGTGATTTCATAGTTTTAAAATTTAACTTGTACTTATTTATGGCATAACTATGACTAGACAAGTAACTCCAGTAATAAATTATTTTGCAGGTATTCACAGTTTTATATGGAAGATAGCTTTTGCCATTATAACATGTTCAACCATCACTTCTTTGATGGAGAGGTAAGATTTTTAACCATTTTCTCTTTCTTCACTTGTGGAAGAACAAATGGAAGAGATCTCCTTTGCTATTTTTTTGAAGTCCCTTAAGATCAAATTGTCGCTATTCCACCATTTATTCATGGACTGAGTATGTATTGAGCATCTAGAAGTGATCAAATTATTCCTTTCATGACTTTTCACTACAGTTTGGGGTGAAGACCCACTTTTTCACCAAGGCCTGTGTGGCTCTGTGTGGCCCGAGGCCTGCCACTCTTCAGCCCCTCCTCACCCTGCTCTTGCTTCCCTGTTTGCGGTCAGGGCACACAACTTTGACCTTGAACTTTCATCTGGAACTGACCTTTGCACCACAGGGCCTTTTGCCCTCCTCTTCCCTTGGCCTTCTACTTTCCCTTTGCCTTGTTACCTTTACCTCATCCTTCAGGGCTCTTTTCCAAGTCAACTTTCTCTAGTCTCCCTGAGCTCCAGACAAGGTCAAGTTCTCCTTCCTAGATTTACGATACTATAATTAAATAACTCCGGGTGGTTAGTTTGTGTCTGCCTCCCTGATACATTTCATGTCCCAGTTAAGGAGATTTGATTTATGGTTTTATTAAATTAATCCTTAAAAAGTAGTGTCAAGGATACACCTTACTGTAAACAATGAACTCTGGGTGATAACCATGTATCAACTTAGGTTCATCGATTGTAACAACGCCCTTCTCGTGGGGAATCTTGTTGATGCGGGAGGCTACGCATGTGTGGGGTGGGGTTGTGTGGGAAATCTGGTTTCTAGAGTAACTGGAATAAGCTGCCAAGACTGAGCTCCACTGTGTTTTTCCAGCTGAGAACAGTCGTCCAGCCCAGCCCTTTTTTAGGAACAGCCTCTAAGTATCACTGCAACTGTAGAGATTGATCTGTAGAAAACTATTGTTTTAATGATGTTACTATCTGCCCTTTCCTGCCGACTTCCTGAGTCAAGGTGTTCAGTAAAGATACCATCTCCTAATCAGTCACGAAGTCTTGCTGTGTGTACTGGTGCTTGTGAAGGTGTATGGGGAGCCTTGAGGACATAGTCTTTGTCACCGCGTGTGAGCACTTCACAGTCCACTGGATTAAAGAGCAGGCATTTCCTGAACAGGATATTTTTCATAGCAAATAATAGAGTATTTGGATAACAAAAAATGTCATATGCCTTAGCAGTAAAGGGGGTTAAAGTATGTAGAGAGGGTGGCATTTAAAATAATGTCAAGCAGACTTCCAGCCAAGATGGAGGCGCAGGTAGATACTCTTTGCTTCCTCACACAACCAAAAGAAGGACAACAACAAATTTAAAAACAAAAATAACCAGAACTGCCAAAAAATTGAACTGTATGAAAGTCCGAAGCCAAGGAATTAAAGAAGAAACCTTCATCCAGACCAGGAGGAGCGGAGACAGGCAGCCAGAGGGCAGCCGGGGCAGAGGGGACGTGCGGCAAGGCGGTGCTGGTGGTCGGTGGACTTGTGGTCCTACATTCGCATGCAGATAAACCAGGAGGAACAATTGGGGATTGAGACAGACCGAGCAACCCAGGGCTCCACTGTGGGGAAATAAAGCCTCAAAACTGATAGAAAACTCCTTCGGGGTTGAGGCAGCAAGAGAAACTCCCAGCCTCATAGGAGAGTTTGTTGCAGAGACCCACAGGGTCCTAGAATGTACACAAGCCAACCCACCAGGAATCAGCATCAGAAGGGCCCAATTTGTTTGTGGGAAGCAGGGGAAGTGACTGAAATCTGGCAGAGAGTGGAGCAAATGTCATTGGTCCCTCTTGGACCCCTTCCCCACATAAAGTGTCACACCAGCGATGTGGGTTGTCCTGCCCTGGTGAACACCTAAGGCTCCACCCTTTACAGTGTAACAGGTGCGCCAATACAAAGAATAATGACCAGAAAAAAGAACAGATCAAAAATCCAGAAAGAGAAGTAAGTGACTAGGAGATAGCCAGCCTATCAGATGCACAGTTCAAAACACTGGTAATCAGGATGCTCGCAGAACTGGTTGCGTATGGACACAAAATAAAGGGTGAAGTGAAGGCTGTGCAAAGTGAAATAAAAATATCCGGGGAACCAACAGTGACAGGAAGAAAACCGGGAATCAAATCAATAATTTAGAACAGAAGGAAGAAATAAACATTCACCCAAAACAGAATGAAGAAACAAGAATTCAAAAAAATGAGGAGAAACTTAGGAACCTCTGGGACAACTTTAAATGTTCTAATATCTGAATCACCGGGATGCCAAAAGGGGAAGAGGAAGACCAAGAAATTGAAAACCTATTTGAAAACATAACGAAGGAAAACTTTCCCCAAATGGTGACTGGGATAGGCATGCAAGTCCAGGAAACGCAGACTGCCCAGAAGAGTTGGATCAAAGGAAGCGCACACCAGGACACATCATAATTACATTACCCAAGAGTAAAGATAAGGAGAGAGTCTTAAAGAGACAGTTACATACAAAGGAGTTCCCATAAAACAATCAGCCGATTTCTCGAAAGAAACCTTAACAAGAAGGGTCTGGAAAGAAGCGTTCAGTCATGAAAGGCAGGGACCCACATCCAAGATGACTCTATCCAGCAAAGCTATCATTTAGAATGGAAGGGCAGATAAAGTGCTTCACAGATAAGGTCAAGTTCAAGGAGTTCATCATCACCAAGCCCTTATTTTATGAAATGTTAAAGGGACTTCTCTAAGAAAAAAGGGAAAATTAAAACTGTGAACAGTAAAGTGAAAACAAACTCACAAGTATCAATAACCGAACCTAAAAAAAACAAAAACAAAGAAAGTGAACAACTACAACAGGAAGGGAATCACAGGAATGGAGATCACATGGAGGGTTGTCAGTGGGGAGGGGGGAAAGGTCAGGGAATAAGAAGCATAGATGGTAGGTACAAAATAGACAGGGAGGGTAAGAATAGTATAGGAAATGGAGACTCCAAAGAGCTTACACTTAGGACACGTGGACATGAACTGAGGGTGGGGTTAATGCTGGAGGGAGGTGAGGTAAAGGGAAGAGGGGGATAAAGAGGAGAGAAAAGTAGGACAACTGTAGTAGCATAACCAAAAAATATGCTTTAAAAATTTTAAATAAAAAAAAGCCAAGCAATTTCTTAGTGCTAGATGGAGAGTTCAGTCAATGTCAACCCTGGGGGCACAGCCAGCATTGGTCCCTGTGGGTGGTCAGCATGGGGCCACCACCCACTTGTGACAGGACATTACCACAGGGATTCTTACCTGAAAAGATACTCTGAATGTTTTTTAATTTGGTTAAGTGTTTGGGCCTAGTTTACTTGTTTGTCTTCTTTTTTCTGCTTTTAGGTCTGAGGAATTTGAAGGTTTTTTAATAACATCATCTGTGCTTTAGGTCCTGGTTCGTGTAGGCAGGGCGAGGAAGTGCCAGGCAGCCCTGGAGAGTGATTCGCCTTCTTGACCCGCTGTCCTTCGCTGTAGGACTTCCAGTAGGAAGTTAGTAAAGAGTCTCCAGGGAAATGGAATTAGGATGTCGTGCCTTTCCTCATCATTTGGATCTTCCAAATTGATTTAGTAGTAGAGTAATATATATTTTATTATGAAGTACATATAGATTTATTAAAGTTTAAAGTATCATTAAAGTTTAAAATCATACTCCATTCAGTATATTGTTAAGTGTTGATTTGTTCTTACAGATGAGTACATACTTGAAAACTATTACAAAGTCAGTTGACTGGAATTATAGGTGTGTTTCCTATTAACTTCTCCCAAAGCATAAAATGATACCTACCCTAGACAGTGGTTATGTTAATTTTGCAATTACTAAAAACACTTCAACCAGTTTGTTGGTAAAATGCGTTAATGGCATGTTTTCATGGCCTGGATAAGCTTTGTTATTTGTGAACCTTCATGTATTTACTTACATGCGTGTTCACATATGTCTGCCATTTACCTGGCACTTGGAAACATTGGTGTGTTTAACTGGTCACTGCAGCTCTTACTCAGCTGAACCTGGGGGTGGACAGGCCACACAGGAAAAAAAGTCTCACTCGTCTTCCTGTCTCCATTGTCGAGCACGGTCCCTGCTTCTGTTTGTTGAATTGTAGCGTTTTAGGTAGTCTTCGTGGGTAATGAGTTGCTCTCTTTTAGGCTCCTAAATTTAGTTTTTTAATTTAAGCATCGGAAATGTGTAGTCCTCTGATAGTGATGGTATTTGAATTTGTAGTTTTAAAAGCCTGCGTATCAAGAAACCCAAAGATAAAATCTTGTGGGGCTGAGTGAGGGAGGCTTGAGGACGTCCGTGCCGCGCTCTGGGGTGGCAGGCGGGTGACATTTCAGTGCGGAGAGTGACACGGAGCCCAGGGCCTTCTCCGAGTGGGTGCAGTCCCTCCCTCTAGTCCTTCAGAAATGAATTTCTGTTTGTCCCAGGCGGCCCTCGAAGTGTGCAGGACGTTTTTACAGGGCGGTGAAGGCGAAGCCGTCATCATGGTGGCAGATCCTCCTTTTGGTGGCTTGGTGGAGCCTCTGGCTGTGACGTTCAAGAAGATAATTGCTATGTGGAAAAAAGGTCAAAGCCAAGGTGTGTCATGTATTACTGAAAAATAAACACATGTCTATGTATCTAATTTTTTGTCAAATGATAGCAGATCTCAGTGAATCAGAGCACTGATAAAATATACATGCCTTGGGTTCTAATCTTTTTTTAAAAGAACAGGCTTATTTGATAATGTGGCATATGTTACCATCATGATACACTTTGTATTGTCCTAATTGTGTTTTTAAAATAGCTCGTAGGTGAAATCTTTTTTTTTTGGTGGGCATAAATAAAGGGACATTTTGTAGAATAGCAGTGAATTGTCATTTTTTTCAATAAATACAGAGGTGGACAAAAGCAAATTTACAGTTCGTGTGGAAAATAATACAATAATTAATAAATAATAAAATACAAGAGTAAACTGTGTTTCACATATTCACAACTGATTTTGCCCACCCCTGTATTTACTAAATGGCCACTATGCAGGAGGTACTGTTCAGGTGTTAGAGCGAACAAGACAGCCGCATATCTCTGTCCTCACGGGCTTTACATTTCCTGTCCCTCCCACCCTTCCCCAGACTCTAAGGGGCACCCAGCCTCTGGCCCAGCGTGCTGAACTGTGCCAAGATTCGGGTGGGAAGGCCAGACATCAAGCAGCCTGCCAGGGGCACACAGATACCCGGTCCTACGGGTGCAGTAAGGGTCAAAACTGCACACTGTCCAGTTTCCAGCGGCCCGGGACTCCAGAGTATTTTATACCATTATCTGATTAGTCTGCACACTAATTTTTTAGTTTCCAGCTTGTTAATTGATAAATTGTAAGAGCATCAGGAGTTTGTGATCAATTTTCTCTATTAGTTGTACTGCATAAATGGTGTGCTTTGGGGACAGAATGCAAATGAAATCTGAAAAATCTAAAATGGGACTTACAGTGCAAAGTATTCCACTTGTTTACGGTTCTGAAGCCCTTCCTGGAGCAGGTAGAGTCTGTGTTGTTGGGGAAGCAGTGAAGAGCAGGCTTGCATTCCAGTTCTGCCACTCACCAGCTGCCTGACTCGAACTCATTCCTTAGGTCGTGCAGCTTCCTTTTCAAACCCTTCTGTAAAATGGGGCTACTAATACCTAACTCCGGAGGTCATTACATGGAGGTAACAGAGTATCTGGCAGTGTGGTCAGCCCACCTTGGCGCTTGGTAAGGAATAGCTGTGTTCCCTGCCTCTCATGAAAATTTTATTTCCCATTTTTGGGGGGAACATCTCTGCCTTTACACCCACTATCGTGATTTGCATGTAAGGATCACTTTGCACACCTTTGTGGCTGGGTTTAGACAGAAAAGGATGTCCCCATTGCCTTTGGAAAGGCCTGGTTGGAAGGGGTGTTCTGGTAAACATTGTTTCCTTTTGAATGCCTTAAATGGATTGAATGATTGCAGTTTCTTCTGATAGCAGAAGTTTTCCAGTTATAGCTGTTTTATTTTTTTTAATATCAATTTCTTATTTTATTTGCCCTTTTTTTGGTGATCCATTAGATAACAGTCACGAAGAACTACCCATCTTCTGGATTTTCCCCTATTTTTTTGAATCCCGAATTTGTCAGTTTTTTCCAAGCTTCCGAATGCTGGATTATCAGGTACAGTAAATATTCTGTCTTTGCATGGTTGGGGAATGTATATTACGCAGTTTAAATAAGTACTCTGATAAGACTATCCATTGGTTTTAGAAAATGAAAATACTGTTAAGTTGTGTTAAACACTAAAATTATACTATACATAGCCTGTGGGCTTATTAAAAATATAAATCCTTAGGTACCAAAATAAACCTATTAACTCAAAATCAGAGGGTGCAGACCATGATTCTGAAGAGCAGCTGGGTTTAGACCAGCTAATCTAATCGTCCTCATCACAGGGAGATTTTACAGCACCATCTTACCTGGTAAATGAAGAAGGCAATACTGTGTCTGCCTTGTAAGATGTTAAGAACATCAGAAGGCTTCGCTGGGCCGAGGCACACAGCACAGTGGAGTGGAGGTCACTGCTGTCAGCGTTGCTGCGGCCGGCACTGTGCTGTCACGTTCAGATGGTCCCGAGGTGGGGGCACAGCTCCCTGCAGGTCCTTTGTGTACAGCCTCAGAAACATTAAAACTGCAAAACGTGAGGTCCATCTGCCGTGGACCGGAGTTTAAAATGGTGGGGAGGCAAATGCAGGTCAAATAAAGCGATGAGAACTATTCCTGTAGAGCAGTAGCCCGTCATCGTCTGTTCAGACAGCCTGTGTTACTAAGAAGGAAATTTTGGAAATGTTGCAGTTTTAGTTTTGAGCAATACTTTCAAGATCCAGGGTTATTGGATATAATTATGTAATTTAATGTATTAGTGAAAAAAGTTCTAATAAGGTCATGTGTATTAGGATGAAAAGCAGTCTTTTCCATAAAGAGAAAGCCAACCTTTGAGAAGAAAAATTAGAATAATATCCCTAAAACAAAACAAATATTCTTTTTCATGACTCCCACCAAAGGTAGGAACCGTGCTGCCCTTGACACACTCATTTGGAGAACCCAATTGCACCATGTCTCTGAGCGCAGCGATTTTCGACCTTTTTCACATAAACTAATTTCTGAAATTCAGCACACTACAAAAATAGATTTTTTGACAATCTGATTAAAATAGGTATAATTTTTACTTATTCACACCAGATGGCTATGGTGCTGGCTGTTGTCATTTATGTATGTGACAAAGGGGAAAGAGAGGCCAGCGTCCCTGAGGACACCAGGTTTTAAAAGTGTTCATGCGCACCAGTTCAAAATTGTCCTGGTGGATTTAACCTGATCTGTTGTGCCTCCCCTTTCATGATTTTTCTACCTTTTTTTTTTTTTTTTTGAAAACTTATCTGGACTTACTATTGTTATCATTATCATCCTTTCTGAGCCTTTTGCTTTCTTTTCTTTTGTTACTTTAACCTCATTTTGTGGTAACTTTTTTCTTCTGTTAGCCGCCTTTATCAGATAAACATTTGAAAGTCTCCTCTCTTCCTTCACTGATCTTTCCCCCCAGACCTTGAATGAGGCCTTCCTTCAGACATTGCCAGAGACAGTTATAAGCCCCCAAATCACGATGCAGTAAAAAAACCAGAAATCAGTACATTTCTTTTTTAAACACTTTTCAGGTAGGAGGAAGACAAGAATGCTGCAGATATTCATAGCCTCTCCTATGATAAAGCACTTGATAAGTGCAAAATAAAATCGTTACCAGAGACCTGGAAGCCAAGTGTTTTATTAAGGGTAGATTAGAAAGGAAGGGTGTGATCATGAAAAGAAACTCTGATTTAAAGTCAGAAGTCTGAGTTCTAGCACTGCCTTTTAGAGGCTGTTTCATCATGGGAGAAGTCATTTTATCTTTCCAGGTCTCTGTTTCCTTACCTATAAAATAAAAATGAAATGATGGGACCAGAAAAGGGGTGGCAGATGAGTTTCACTTAGCACTAAGCCTGGTAAATGAATTGGTAGTGACTTTTGGAGAATTCGTTGAGAGCAGCAGGCTCAGTGACAGAGAGTGGTATGAGTGATTAGTGACGTCTGTCCCAGGGCCAGGGCCAGGCAGTGGTGGCACTCAGGGCATCAGAACTAGACCATCTCACTCACCTTCACCGTGAACGTGTTCTATGATCTCTCGTTTATGCTTCATCTGGGACGTTTGTCTGGATTGGTAAAGTGAAGCTCTGCTTTTTATTTTTTACGCTATCTTTTTAAAAACCATCTCATAGAAAACTTTTTTGAGTCTAGTGTCATGTTTAGAAATGAAGACATTATGACAGGAATTTCTGAGGTATGACTGTAAATTAAAAGATAACAACTGTGATTCTTGAGACTCAGTATATAATAAAACATTCAGTGGGTTTGGAGTGACAAGGGGAAAATACATATGAAAAGTAGGTGTACAGTTGTGAGTATGCGAAACACACTTGATTCTTGTATTATTATTTATTTATTGTGTTATTTTCCAAATGAACAACTGTAAACCTACTTTTGCCCCAGGCTACATATAGTAATTTTAAATGAGGTTACATGGGATATGGAGAAGGTGAGTAAAAAACGTTAAAGTGGGTTGATAGAGTTGAAGAGTTAGTTCACTTGGGATCTTTCAATATACGGAAATTAAATAGAATACAGCCCTTAGAGAGTTATGAAAGTACAAGGACTCTGTTTTATTTAATCTTTGTTTCCCAGCATGATGCCTAGAGCATAGTAGGTTTAAAATAAATATTTGTTGACTTGAACGTCTTGGTTTCTGTATAACTTAGTTTCAGTCTCGTGTTACAGAAGAAATTTGTGTAGAGATAAAATTAAAAGTTAGGAAGTACGGAGATTTGGTGCTTTCCCTCATTTCTATACAGTACTTCATCACATTAATCAGTTCCATGGGAGAGATTTTCTATTTGAAAATGCTTCTCGTCATCATTGTGAGTGAAATGTCAGGGATAATGACTGGAAAATGGTGTATCAGCTCCACCACCAGTGATAGGCAATTTGCAAAATCGTGTTTGCTTTGCAGCACTTCCATAGGAGGTTTATTTGTGTGGGTGAAGCTGTGGAATATGGATGTGTGTTAGAGGTGCATTCATTTACCCGAGCAGCATGCATTTTACATACCATATGTTTATAGTTAATTAGCACAACAAACCCGCATTTAAAAATAATAATAATCTCAATTAGGTTATGCAAAATCAAGCAATCCACCACCTTCCCGACACGTGCATTCTCGGCTCCTTGGGTAGCCATAAAGAAATTGTTCTCTTTTTTTTTTTTTGCCTTCTCTTCCATCTGCTATCTATTGTATTGCATGGGATATTCCATTTGCTAGAAATCTTTCTAAGATACTCTTTTTCCAATATTTGCAAATCTTCCTAAGATTCTCTTGGAAAGAATTTTTTTTCTTATGACGCTCATAAATGTTGAAAATGTCTGTTGAATTTAATAAGGCGCCATATATTTATAGAGTACAAAGAGGAGTGCAGTGGGGAAAATGATGACTTTAAATCATCGTAAAAGAAAACTACTGAAGGTACTATTTTAAGGTGCTTTTGAAGTAAAATCTACTTTTGTATCTTAGCCTCTAATAGCTGACATATATTCACAGAATTTTGAAGTTGGAAAGAAGCCAGAGACGTGGGCCCACCTCCCCATGTAGTAATGCTCTCTGCTCAGTGCACCGTAAGCCGTCACCTAGCTCACTCGAATGTTCTTAGTGCGCATAGTCCTGCAGCTTCCAAGGCAGCGCAGTTTATGTAATAGCTCCAATTGTTAGAACATGTTCTCGTATTGAGATAAATTATGCTCCCTATTAACTTCTAACCACTGGTCCTTCTTCTGTTCTCTGAAGCGGTAAGGGATAAACCTAGTTTCTATGCCATGTGATGCCCCTTCAGTGATAAAGTAGCTATCACATCCTCCCGGTCTTCTCTTTTTTGAATCAACACCTCCAGTATGTTAAACTCTAAACCCTATTTGTTTCCATTACTTTCAGTGGACATAGGCTGGTTTTATTAATGTCTCTCTTCGAATGGAGTGACTGATACAAGGCTTCAACTGTGACCTGCCCTCATCCCAGCTTTTACAGTTGTGCTGGGTGTGGACTCGACCTACTGCCACTGACAGTCCCCCGCCCCACCCCGAGGCTTTCTTATCCTGTCCTTTGTTTAGTGGGGTCTCCTTATCCGGTCCTTACGTTTCCCCACTGCTGAAGCCTGTTGGTCCCCCGCAGATCTAGTCGGCATTGGCAGGGCTGCAGAGCGAGCTCAGGGCTCTCCCTCTAAAGGCCTCTCATTCCATGGTCATCCATTCCTTACATTTTTGTGATTGGCTTATTAAATAGCTAGCTTGTGAGCCAGTTCTATTGCAAATTCTTAAATCTATTCCTGTTTAGAATCTAAGCAGTTGATTACAACTTATTCGAAAGTTGTGATCTACCCATATTGGCCTCATAAAAATCTCATGGGATTCTTGTGGGTGATCTAATGCAGTAGTTCTACTTTAGTGTGCCAGGGGGGCTTGTTAAAAATGCAGATGGCTTCCCTCCCCACCTCCCTGAGTTTCTGTTTTATTAGGTTGTGGTGGGGCAATAATTTGCATCCCTTAGGAGATCCTAGGGGATCCAGGCTGTGGGCAGGGAGAGGCACTGATCTGAAGGAAGATAGACAAAGTGGCTGGGTGGACCCATAGCAGATTTAAAACAACCTGAAAATGTGTATGGGCAATAGAGAGGTGGGTGAGGGGCAGGAGCAGGAAGCTAATAGAAAGCATGCTTGTTAGCTTCAGTTTACTTCCAGGGTAACCTGCTGACACTGAAAGTGCAGGTGGGGATCTTGAGAAGAGAGGTGAATGTTGGAAGGCGCCGTCGTGCAGAGAACTGCAGTTAGGAATGGCTCCTCATCGCCATCCTTCTGTCTGTTTCAGCCACACACCAGGCCCTGAACTCTGTGTTACATACATTACATCCACTAACCTTCACCGCCCCCTAAGGTGGAAATTACACAAACTGGCTTAAGGTCACAGAACAGGTGAGCAGCAGAGCCACTGTCGGGCCTCCAGACCTGTGCTCTGTCGGCTGGTGCGCGGTGGAGGGCCGCACCAAGGCCGTTCTGGGCCTGGGGAGCTGAAGGTGGACGTGTGGCAGATTTCACACACAAAACATGAAAAGCCCCAACCAGGCTGGCACGTGTCTTCAAAGGTGGAATTTTTTAACACCCAAAGCTAAATTCTTGCAAAAATTTTCTTTGTTTTTCAGTTACAGTTTACATTCAACATTACTCTATTAGTATCAGGTAGACAGCATAGTGGGTAGACAGTCATATACTTACATAGTGGTCCTGTCCCCTTTATTTCCACTCCCGTCTGGCATCACACATGGTTATATGTATGATGCACTTGTATCCCCCTATTTTGTGACTACCAATTTGTACATCTTACAAAACCTAAGTTTTTAATTACAGAGTAGGCTTTCTTGTAAAGTCTATTGTATTGCATAAAAGGTTAGAGTTCTCAATGCTAGGCAATGTGAATTTGTCATAACAAATTTTACTATTTTTATAATCAAATATCACTCCCATAGAGGCCCTTCTGAGGCTGCTGATTAGTAAGTAAACTCTTGCTTTTAAGAATTTCTTATTAAATACTTCAGTTTAACTTGTATCTTGGCATCAGCTTGTTCATTTATTGGTTAAAGAATCTTAAAGAGTCTTGGTTCATTTGAGTAAATGTCGTTTTTCCATTTTTTTAAACTTTCTAGGTAGATTATGATAATCATGCACTTTATAAACATGGAAAGACAGGTCGGAAACAGTCTCCTGTGCGTATTTTCACCAATATTCCACCCAGCAAAATAGCCCTTCCTGCCGAAGAAGGGTACAGGTACGGTCACGGTGGGACCCTGAAATACATAGGCCACTGCAAACACAGGTCCGTGTATCTGACATTATCACGTTTTCAACATTGGCTCATGTCGTTCTGTTACTTTTGACGTTGGCCCATAGTTCTATGTTGAATTAAATTTTGGTTACACCCATTTTTGTGTACGCATTTGGTTTCTCCAAGTCTTCCTTTCCTCCTCAGGTTTTGCCCTTTGTGTCAGCGATATGTTTCCCTAGAGAATCAGCACTGTGAGCACTGTGGCTCTTGCACGTCCAAGGTATAGTTTGCTTTAGAATACGTTTTTATTCAAATATATTATTAGTTTTAGTTCAGTTTACTAGTTTCCATTACATTTGTTTAATGTTATATTGTTAAAATTTGTACTAATATCTTATTCATTAATTATACTTTAATACAATATTTTATTTCTAATTGTAAAGTACACCAGGCTTTTAAAAATACTTAGACAGACGAGAGGGTCCTGGAGCAAACTAAGCCTGAAACAGTGCTGGAGGCAGAAATGACAAAGCTGAGGCTGTCCTGCTTTGGGCACAGCCCGAGAGCACAGGGTTCTTTGGAAAGACGAGAATGCTGGGCACATGGAAGGCAGCAGGGAAGGAGGAGACCAGAGGTGTCCGTCAAAGAAGCCGAAGGCAGGGGCCCGCGGGAGCTGAGCAGGGCTGCTGAGCACGGGGCGGTGTGGATGGGCAGCGTGGACGTCGCTCGCCCAGTCACGGGGTAGCGGAGGGAAATCAGCACACCTGCGTGGAGCACGTCATTCATAGTTATTTCAGGTCACTTTTATATGGTACTGTATGACTGCGAAAAGGATTAGTGTTTTAAATAAGGCACTGCATTTTGGTGAGCACAGAATTACTGTGTTTCAAATAAGGCACTGAACCCTTAGATACCGTCGCTGCTGTGGTGGAGTTGCAGCCAATAGCATGCTCTGTGCACTTTTGCTGCACCAGGCCCTTTCCTAAGGGCTGTCCGTGGGCTGATGATGGCGGCTCTCAGTGAACTGCTGGGTAGTGCGGCCGCTCCTTGCTCTGTGCGGCCGAGGGAGGGCTGCACAGGGCAGAACCCCCTCTTCATTTTTCAGGAAGGTGGGATCACCCTTAAGCCGCTCGGTTATTTTAAATGAATCCAGTCAGAAAGGACATGTGAAGTTTAGTTTGGCTGATAAGCACATATTATTCTTCCATATTTTCTGTACTAGTTTTTAATTATGTTAACACATCCAATCACGTATATTTTCAGTTCATCTAGCAATTATCTTATATTCTTCATTTAAGAACATGATGCCCAGAACATGAAAGTTCAGAATGTGGAAAATAAAACTTTATTATTTAGAGGTGTACCCGTAGTGGTAAAAATAAATGATAAGGAAGGGACCATCGCAAAAAAGCAAGCATAGGTGTTAGTAGGGAAGACTGAAGCCAGGTTGGGGAGGAGCTGGTGGGGAGCTGTCTTTGGGGCTGACAGTGTTCTGCTTTCTGACCTGCTGGGGCCCTTTGTATACTCACTAAACTCGATGTGTGTGTGTCTTTGCACTTTTCTAGGTATGATTTACTTCACAGTTTTACAATTACCCAAATAGTAACCTATAATCTCTATGTTTCTAAATTACATACAGTTTTCAAATGCGAATTTTATTAAGGATTATACTGGATAGACACAAAAATTATGAATCATTAATTCTCTTGAAATTTTCACTGAGCCCTTCTTTATGCAGACTGGGATTCTTGATCAGGAGTGGACTTTCAAGATCAGGTAGATACCCCCCCCCCCCACCCCCAGTTTCAGAGTTAAGGAAATCGGAGCCCAGCAACAAGGCACTGAGTTGAGCAGAGAATGCATAAATTAAAATCAAAGTATGTAATTTTGAAGCCCAGGAAAGTGAGAAATAAGGAATTAATAATGTATGCAGATTTTGATAAGACATTTTAATTTTTAATTGCAGGACTTGATTTTTAATGACAAATTAAATATAATTTAAAATTGTTTTTGTAGGACGGTAGGAAATGGAACCATTGCTTTCTCTGCAAAAAGTGTGTAAAGCCTTGTAAGTATTTAGACTTAGTGTTTGAGACCCTGTGAAAACATTTGAGCGTTTTTTCATCTGGATAGGGTTTGTATTTAACTGTATTTATAAAAGAACAATGAATATACAGACCTTCATTGATTTCCTTGCTTCATATTTTTTACAGTTACCAAAATGTACATTTCTCTACATCACAGAGAGACATGACTACTAGCGCTTTTCAGTGTAGCCTTTGGTCTGCCTTGTTTTGGAAGGCAGCTGTGCTCACCACTCAGCACCAGCGCTGCAGGTTTGGCTTATTTTGATGGGGCTTTGTGTCCCTCAGCCAGCACCCCCGTGTCTGCGGCCCTCAGATCCTGACTCAGGAGAGAAGGGCTAGACTTGTGGCCAAGTCTCAGAAAAGAAGTTAGCTGGTTTGCAAGGGATTCCAGCTTCTCTGCTTTGGGCTCGTTAGCCAGATTCTAACCAGCTATGCAAACGCGTCACCGTAATCAAAGTAAACACTGTTCATGCTTCCCTATTACAGAGGTTAATCAAATGAGAAATTATATTAAATGAACCTCTTCTAAAACGTAATTTTTTTTTACAGCTTGGATCCACTGCAGCACTTGCAATTGCTGTGCTCTTCCAGATCATTCTTGCGAGGGCCCTAAAGACGGCTGCTTCGTTTGTGGTGAATTAGATCATAAACGCAGCACTTGTCCTAACATCTCTCTTTCTAAGAAAGTTATCAGGTTAGTTGAATTCTTTTATTTACGAGAAAAACATTTTCCTTGTGTGATACATACAGAGCATTCACAGAGGTGTGAAATAGAGGATTCAAAAGTGCTAAATTAATTGTTTTTTTCACTGATGTGTATTGTTTGAATGGACGGGGGAGGGAGGGCGTGAAGGTGAGTCCAGGAGCTTAGAGTTTTACTGGTAAGACATGAAAACTACCAGAATGTAAGGTGGAAAGTGACTGACTGTATCTCCTGTGGTTAATGTGAAATTACAATTTGGGGGGAGCGAGCTCGGGCTTCATTGAAGGGTGCCATTTTTAATTCAGGACAGGTTAGGTGCACACACATAGCAGTGGGTAAGGCTGCAGAGGGCGTCTCAGTGAGATGTGTAATGCCACAGTGGGCTCCTTGGGAAATGGAGTTATTCCTTTAAATTGTGTCAGACTTCAAGAAAAAGACGTAGACATACATAATACGTAAGTACTTCAAGTTTTTCAGTACCTTTTTTCTATCATGCTTTCCCTCCTCTCACCAATATTTGACACTGGTTGTAACTACGAGCACAGTTACAGCAAAGACGAGAGCGTATTTAGAAAAACCATTGCTATTTCAACTGAGCTAACTTGAAAGACTATATACATGTATTTTTTAAACTAAAAGGGTATTGAGTCCTCTTGTTTTATTGATATGAAAACTATGTTATTACATTTACACAATAGAATACTACTCAGCTGTAAAAAGAAAATTTTACCCTTTGCAAACAGCATGGATAGACCTGGAGAACATTATGCTAAGTGAAATAAGCCTTTCAGAGAAAGACAAGTATATGATTTCACTCATAGGTAGAATTTAATGAACAGACTGAACTAACAAGCAAAACAGACAGACTCATAGATGGAGAGCAGATGACACCTTTGGTCGGGAGAGGTTAGGGGTGGAGGGATTGAACAGAGAGGAGAAGGGGCTCGTGGACACAGATAGCAGTGTGTGATTGCAGGGGGAGGGGCATATTGGGGAGGGTCATGGGAAAAACACAAAAACAAACAAACCAAAACCAGGTAGCCCCATTGAACATTACACAGGAATTGAGATCGGGATCAAATTATAGCTATCACATGACTTGTGATTTAAAAAAAAATCTATCACTAATAGAAATGTCAAAATTTTTGGTAACTATGATTATATTAGAATTCTTTCTCATTTGATTATTTTTTTCAGTGGAAGTTATTTTGTTTCATTAAGTTCCAGCCATTTGAATTGTGCTTACTATTTAAACTGCCTTTTCCATTACTTTTTATCACATTTACTTTAAATATTTCCACTAAGTAATCCAGGATAGACGTGGTATATTTTTAATTAATTAAAGAGGTGTATTGAAGAATCTTACAAAATATTTTCCCTTAGAAACCTTCCAGAATAAACTATTGTTCTGGGATTGTTGCACTATTTACAGGGTCACTCTGGGTGCAGACAGGAGTTAGTAACATGACTCTGCTGGGGTTTGTGAGCCTGGGGAGTGTGGAAGCTGAATTTGCCTTTGGTGCTGCGTTGTTGCTCTTCGCTGGTTCTTCAATAGCCCTGGCTAGTCTGCTCGGTGGTGATACATTGTTTTCATTGAGGGAATCCATCTAATATTTTTCAGTGCTAGATATTTATCAAGCTTAATTCAAAGAGCAAATCCCTTAGGATGTGGTACTTTTCTTGGGGAAAACTGCTAAACTCCTGTTAACAGTTACTCTTTAAGTGATTGCTTTAAAAAAAAATTGTATAATGAAATTGGAAATGAAAAACTTTTTTACAATAGAAAAAATAATTTTAATAGCCTATTTTAGTGTATATAGCATAACAGATCTTTTCGTTGTATGTATTTTATAGCTCTCATTAATTGGCTTTCCCTTAATATTAATTTTCCTCTGATTGTAACTGGAATGATGCTGGCTCCCTCTTGTGGTCGAAGCTCATTTTATCAGTTATATAAATACCAAATTTAGAGGACAAATGCTAGGTCAATTTAATTATAAGGCAAAATAAAACATTTAACTGATTTATACTCAGTCACTTCATCACTGTTGGAAAACTTTATCTCTGGAAAGTTTTGTTTATTCACATTACAAGTGAATATTTTCTTTCTGTTTTTGTTACTGCATCCTCTAGTAAAATCTGGTCCCTGTTTAGTTCCTCCTATAAGTGGATAAGCCAAAAAAAATTTGTTCAGATTTTGTATACAGGCATGCATAGCTTCATTGACTTTGCCATTAAGAGGTTATACTTCATTAAATTTGCATAATTATCACTTCGCTGGACATTATCCTACTTTTTAAAAAATGGCTGGAGGCGAAGGAGGTTTATGTAACAGGCACAAAACAGTAAAAAGATGATTGTTTTCTTTGTTTTGTAGACTGGTAGGATACCCCCACCCATAGTACAAAATCTAAAAATTGAAAAATTTAAAGTTGTCAAGTAAAATTTTGAATAATATTCATATGGAACTACTAATAATAGCTAATATTTATTTAGTAATTATTATATGCTCAGCATTTTACACACCTAAATAATTTATAGTAGAGTATATAGTATCAAGCTAATCAAGAGCATAGGCTCTAGAATCAAACTCACTCTGCCACCTCCTCACTGAGGGATTTCATAGCCCCAATTTCTTCCCCTACAAAAACTTGGGAAGGAGGGAAGGGTGAGGTCTGCCCTGTCTCGGTCTCCCAGCTCCCTGAAGTCGAAGATGCCCATTTGGTATTCCTAGCATCTGACACAGATGCTGAATGAACAGAAAGCGAGGCCTGAGTTTGGTTCACCGGGGAGTTATATACTTTTTATGAAGCTCCCTCCCCATGTCTTGGTCCTGACAATATCAAGAGTAAGCTTTTCCCTGGCACTTGTTGTTTAGGAGAATAAATCTAAAGATTGATTTTGCTGCATAGCCATGGGAAGGTTTCAGGTTCACCAGGCTGGCAACGCCCAGCTCATGCCTTGGTTTGTGATACAGTGAATGGCGTGATTCTGATAGTTTGGAGAAAGGGAATGAACAGACGAGCAGTCTTCTTCTGCAGTAGATGGATGGCCTGTAAGCCAGTTCAGAGCCCACCAGAAACAAAGGATCGGGGTTTTTTCTGGAGTGGTTTAGTGTTTGTAGCGGGAGCGTTCCAACTTGTTCACTTTGAGGCCAGTCTTCAAGAGGACAGAGGCTGCGAGGGGTGGACATCCTGTGCGGCAGTTGTGTGGACTTGCAGATCTAGAGGCAAGAGAAGTTAGCCGTCGGACTTAGCGGATGAGCCAGTGTTTTCCGCCTCTGCTGACTGCCAGGGTGTGCCTGCCCTTTTTCTGAAGAATGCAGTTCAGGGTTTTGGAGACTGAAGTGCCCGAGTTGAGCAGTATAAATGTGGGGGGTGGGAAAAACCACAAAAAAAAAAAAACCCTCCCAACTCATTGGCTTGACTGTTTACCTCTATTATATGTTTGTCTTGAATAGATTATTCTAAATCTGTAGTAACCATCTTTCAAAGAAATTTCTTTTCTCAAATATTGGGCTCGGCCTGGACTCTGTCTCCTTATTGGTTTAGAATTCTGTGGATTTATGCTTATAATACAGTAAATTCTTCCCTTCTGTTTACTTACTTGGCTAGCTAGTTGATTAAACTTCAACCTAATTACATTATTCACTGTGCTCATTCTACAAAATAATTTAGCACCTTGTTTTTCAGCGCTGTGAGAAAGCAGAAGCAAAGAAAAAGTAATAAGATGAAAGTGGAGACCGCCACAGGACAGTCCATGAATCACGCATCTGCTACAAAAAAGAAGAAAAGGAGAGAAAGAGTCCATCAATATCTTTGCTCTTAAATGTCTAGTGACTTGAGAATAAGAGAGATTTATAGCCCAACCTTTGATATCATTTTCTGAAAGTGCCCTGCTGGACTTGAATGCTGTCACTTTCAAAGGTGTGCACCTTTCTAAGCCACATAGCAGGCAGGTGATATTTGCTAGTTTATTGGCCCCTTGGCAGCATCTCTGGGGACCCGGTGAGCTGCCCCATCCTTAGCTGGTTTGCTGGCTGTCTCTCTGTCTCCTTTCTCCCTCTGAGTCCCTTCTCATCATATTATTTTAGCCTCTCTTCTCTGACAAGTGGGTGTATAGCATTCTTTTGCAGAGTCAGAAGAAAATGAAAATGTGAAGTTTTATTTATATAAGAATATGTTAAGTAAGATAAATGTTTTAAATTAAATATTAAAATATTGTACAGTGGCTTAAAGCCCACTTGCAAAGAGAATTACAATGACAGTTATTTTTAGGTAGAATCTAAAAATGGTGCAAAGAATTTTGACAAAGGTTGTCTGAAGATACAAAGATTATAATGATGGTTACATTATTAATAAATATTTATTTTTCAAGTACTGTTTGCCACTGTCCTTTGATGGTAGAGAGTCCCCAGATGCTTGTTGATCGAGTGAGGTGTTGAGAGCCGGACTTGCTCTGCCAGCGGGCCTCCCCCCAGGCAGCGTGTGTCTCCGTGACAAAGTGGCGCGACAAAGTGGCGCGGGAGGCAGCCCGGCTTGGCGAACGAACTTCCCGATTCCTGAGCTGACAAACCCTTCCTGGCGGCATGTCCTTGGCCAGGTTATTCACTCTTTATTTATCTTTAAATTAATTTACTGTTTCCTTCAAGATAGTATTAATACACACTTTTTACAGTTGAGGATATTGATTCTTAGGTATATAAAGTAATATTCTCATACTTTGGAAAGTTGGTAACCGTGGATGACTTTAGACTTCAACAAAAGAATCTACCTCTAGAGATTTCATAGTTTACATTCACAATGATGTAAAAAAATTAGGCGAAAAATGGGACTAGTGCTTAGCAACAAAAAAGAGACACAGTTACTAGATCTTGGAGCCATCTAAAGGGTAGAGGCAGGTGCCCAGCCAGGGCTCCTCGGAGCCGTCTCTCGGGTCCTCTGCAAGGCCGTGCCGGACCCTGTAGATGGACCTCCATCACCTGACTGAGCGGAGAGGGATTTGTGTGGCACGCCCAGTTCAGAGACCACATCACTTTGCACCCCCAGTGCAAACACAATGAGTAGTTTATTCCAGTTCCTGCTTTAGTTTTGCTCTGCTTTGATCATGCACAAAGTTTCTAATAGATCTCAGACACTTGCTTGTCAAGAGGCTGTTCATGTAAGTTGCCCAAGGATCCTAAGTTCCACAGCAGTTGACTTAGAGGCTTGAAGACCCAGACCAAGGGACGGGCAGGTCCATTTTGGGGTGAAGTCTCTCCTCCTGGCTTATAGGTGGCCACCTTCTTGCTATGTCCTCAGACAGGCTTTCCTCCCTGGAGGGAGGGAAGGAAGGAGGGAGGAAGGGAGTTATTCACTCTGTGGAAGCCTGGGTTTCTTTGTTTTCAGAATGGGGATAGCAGGGTTGCACCTCAGGTTTGTGACGACATACGCAGGCCCCTGTGGCCCCGGTCCTGCCGTCACTGGGAAGTGCTAGCAGGTGAAGGTGGTTCTGCAGCCCTGGCAGTGACCATCTGGGGGTCTAGCAGCGCAGCACTGAGAACAGACTCCAAGTTTATCTCCTCATTTCTCTGCTAGATGTCTGACGTTATCTACTCAAGACTGAACAGTTTTGAATGGCTTGCATTTGCATAATGACTTTCCTCATTTCCAAACACCTGTTTAAGAGCAAGTCTGGAGGCACCTTTGTTTGGGCTGAACTAGGGCCCTGTCAGTAAAGATGGAAGAACTGCCCCCCACCTGGTATTTAAATCCCACCGGGTATTTCAGGTAGGACTGCCGGCCAGCTGACGTGGGATCCTCGGGTGGGGCCCTGGCCCGTGTGGTGGTAGTGAGTACCGCAGGCGACATCGAACTGTGAGCTAAGCTCCTGGACTTCAGCATCAGGAAACTCCTCCCTTGCCTCCTTTTCTGCACAGGTTGCTCTGGTGACAGGATTGGTACCATGAGGTATGAACCTCGTATAACCATGAGGGCTACGCTCTCTGACTCAGGCATGGATGTGGACACGGCCCAACTTTTGTGGTGTCCCCAGCATCAGGAGCCCCCTCTGAAACTCACACCCGGGGGTCCGTGACGACTGCAGAACTGAGTCCTGATGCACAGGGCTTCTCATCTATTTCCTTTGTTTGGGATGCCATTGATTATAAAATGCACTGTTCATGTAATGACAGCTTTTAACCCATTAATCATATATACTAAATTCTAGATGTATCTTATTTCAGAAATACTGAAATGTGAAAAAAAGGTACATCTTAGAATTGAGGACACAGGATATCACTGATAACCAGGAATTATATACTTTAAAACTTTGGTACCTTCTTAGAAAGTTAAAAATAGAGAAGCTGTTTATTCTGTCCTTATGTTCAACTAATACTAATTTTAATGACTTAAATGTCTTTTCTAAGAATAAACTAATAGGTTATAAAAATATCTCTGGGAGGTAAAGTGTGATGGGAGATGAGGTCTTTTGTTCTAATTAAACTGCAACTCTGAATATTAAGATACCTACTCACAACAGTAACAAAAGAAAATCCCTGAAATTTGACAGGTAAAGTTTTCTATGCTTTTTAGAAGAACATTTGTCTTAATAATTACAGCTAAATTTCATTCAACTGCTTGCTTATAAAATGTAATGAAATACAGAGTCACTTTGTTGTAGGCCCTGAATGATCAGGTTATGATTTTCCTACCTTTAGTCTGATTTGTCCAGTGGACCCCGGTCTGTTCATCCCATTGTCTTCTGTTCGCCCCATTTCCCTCTGGCGCACGGAGCCGTCAGGTCTCACGGAGCCGTCAGGTCCTGGCCCCCTCCATTCCGCTTCTGGGAAGCCTTGCATGCGTCCCTGATACCAGCCAATTCCTTCTTCTCTGAACCCCTTGGTGTTCTCCACCACATTTGAGGCGCTTTTCATTTATTATTTTTACATGGTTACATTTATAGATTCTATTCCCCAGAAGAGTTTGTTAATGTCAGTAACCATTTTATACACTTTGATGTCTCTCCTGCATTGTTGTGCTCAATAAAGATTTGATTGAAAGCATGGAATTTTCTGGAGGCTCTCAGGTGGTAGGTGTATTACTTTGCTAGGCTGCCATAATAAAATACTGCAGACAGGGTGGCTTCAGCAGCAGTAATTAATTTTCTCAGTTTGGATGCTGGCAGGGCTCTTCTGAGGCCTCTCTCCTTGGCTGGCAGTCGGCCACCTTCTCACTGTGTCCTCACATGGTCTGTGTGTGCATGTCCCTGGTGTCTTTCTGTGTCCAGATTTCCCCTGCTTACAAGGATACCAGTCAGATTGGACTAGGGCTCGCCCTAATGACCTCATTTTTCCTAAGTCTCCTTTTAAAGGCCCTGTCTCTAAATGCAGTCTCATTCTGAGGACTGAGGGCTAGGGCCTCAACAAAGGCATGCTGGGGATGACAGTTCAGTCCGTAACAGTAGGCACGCCTAAAATAGGAGGAGAACTTGCTCTCTTCTCTTGCATCGAAGGACAAGGAAAAGAGATCTGCACAATACTGGGAAGACTTTAGAGTCACCGAATTCTAGGAGGACTACCCTCACTAACAGTGCGACTTTAAACGTCGGGGTAAGCAGGGTGAGCAAGATTGGCAGCCTTCTCCGGAAGTCTTTAAACTTAAAATAATTTGACTTTCAAGGTTATTTCAAGAAAAATTCTTAAGTCGATGTCTGGCCCCTTCAAAATAATCTGTAAAATACTAGAAATCTGACAGAATTTTGACTGATTTTTAAATATAAAATCGCAGCCTTCAAAAAAATCCTGGTCTGATGCCACCCCCTTCACCATGTCCTTCTTGGCGTCTCTAGTGAAATAGCACATCTCCCACCAGTGACAAAAATGTGTGTGTGTCTTTTCATTTATACTTCCTCTAAGGTGTTAGATCCCACCTGTCTTAGAACAGCTCGCGGCACCTGTTTCCCCGTACAGACCAGCCCCTGGATGGCAGCGGCCTGTGGGCGTCACGGCGTGCTCGCGGGCTCCTGGAGCGGTGCTCGCACTCGGGGCCTCGCACTCGGTGCTGTCTGAGACACCAGGCTGCAGCACGAGTGACCTCTGTCCGCCCCACAACCTAGGGAAGTGTGCGGCCAGGCCAACACACTTCTGCACCCCCAAGTAGTATCTGCTCATAGATACATGTTGGGTGAGTAGAAATGCCATTTAATACCCACTGTATGCCTCAGAACCCTAACTGCACCACATGAGTAGGAAGCTAATATGCTTAGAGCTGCGTAGGTGAGGAAAGCTTGCACAAAATGCAAAGGAAAATCCAATTACTCTTATTTGATACGATTTTAATTGGAACATTAGGATATGGGTTAAATTACTTGAGGGTCAGCTAAGAAGGTCATTGCAATCAATAAAATGAAGATAAGATCTCTACTATTTGATTGCAGGTGATTTAGTATAAATGTTAACTCAGCAAGACCGAGGGGGAAAAACAGCAAAAGTGGGCAGGCAGGGTCTCAGAGCTCTGAGAGAGGAGTTTCATCCCATTAGTGGGACAGTCAGGTTCTCACACTGTAGTTGTGAGAACAACTACAGTTCCACAGGCATGCAGAGTACATGGGTGACAACCGGTGGCCTCCGAGAAACAGCCTGAGTGCATGGGCCAGTTCCTTCATCAGCAGACGCGGAGGTGAGGGGTGGGAGGGGACTAGGTCCGCCTACACGGTCCACACGCTTAAAGGACAAAGGAAGCACAGTCCCCCGTCTGTCACCAACACGTGGGCCAAGTAAATGAGAGCAAGTGAAGAGCAGCTCCAGTCCTGCCACCCAGACAGAATCACTGTGACAGCTTCTGCGTGTGTGTTTCTAAGGATAGATTCTTGGATAAATAGCCATGCAGAAGACATTAAAATTTCTTTCACAAAAATGGAATTGCAGCCCTGGCCGGTGTGGTTCAGTGGTTTGAGCACTGGCCTGCGAACCCAAGGGCCATTTCCAGCCAGGGCACGTGCCTGGGTTGCAGGTCAGGTCCCCAGTAGGGGGTGCATGAGAGGCAACCACACATTGATGTTTCCCTCTCTTCCTTACCCTCTCTCTAAAATAAATAAATAAAATCTTTTTAAAAGTGTAATTGCAACTACTATTCTGCAGTCTTCAGTGCCCACGTGGAGCCAGCCCCACGGCGACACACACCCTGCCATCCCGTTGCTAGGAACCTGCTGGATGTAGCCTGCCCTGAAGTGGACCTACTGCTGGACCTGCCATGTCCGCGAGCCAACCCATTCTACTACTTGTGCCCCTTTGACTTGGGTTTGTTTTATTGCCGAATGAATGAAACCAGAGTAGGGCAGAGAGATTCTAACATTAGCCTATATTTCTCTTTCCAGCAAATTCTGTCATCTTGCTTAT